AACTATTCCCTTCAAAGTGGTTCTGGTCATCCTTTGATTTCCTGTAACGGTTTAGTCAGCTATAGCGAACAGACAAAAACCCATCTAAATATTATATATAAGATAGGAATTATAGTGATAATTGTTACTGAACAAAAAAAATTGAATAATTAGTGCATAAATATTCCTTAAGCATTGAACAGAACAATACAATAGGAGTATTCCGACCAGCTTTGTTAATTTAGATTTACATTCCATGAATGTTTAACAAAATATTACCGTATGAGTAGACAGAGGGCATGAGAAGCGCCCTCTTCTGCTCTACTCCAGCACTGTTATGCACTATAACAAAAAACATTTGTATACATATACGAGGAGTAGAAGAATCAGATAATGTGACTTTTTTTGCGTATTATTTATTTTAAGTGATAGATATTTGTGAAAATGTTACATCAGACGTATTTACGTATAAGCTATTCCTTGAGTCATATTCTTGTGCCCTGTGAACTGATTTCACGTCATCCCCTCAGAGAACGTTTATGAGCACTTCTTTCGAGGTAATGCTGTACTGGCAAATGCTACGATCGAGCAAATCACATATAATTAAGATCGAGGTGTTAGGCCTACGTATACAACCGGTGCTTAATGTTGTAGAGTAACCAGAACTTCACATTAATCGCTGAATGCTCTGAATCTTTGGCATGTTGGAACCAAAAATTGTTACCTAACTCCAACGATTGAACACTTTTCATCATATTGGATTTCAAACTATTTATATATCTTTGGATCTATAAAACCAGCTTCAGCCGCCGCCATTACACTACTTACTCCATATTTCACAGTTGGTAAAAGGTATCCTTTTTCGAGGGCTGTAACGCTTTTCGCCTCACAACCTCTCATTTCGTTTGGCTTATAAGTATGTACATTCGTTCATTCAAGCTTCTTCAATATTTTCTGTACGGTATCCTAATGTATTAAGAGATTGTTTTTTTTTCGCTTATTTGGGAAGCTGTTATTATATAATTTTATTTTATTGGTCTCAATATATCAGGTTTCTTGCGCGAGTAAAGGAACGCAGCGCTCATTATAAAGACATATCTCTGCAGCTACTAAAAATTTAAATCAATAAAAATGAAATAAATTAAAATTAATTTCATCAGTAGAAGATAAGAACACATCAAAAAATATAAACACAACGTGTTCTGGGAACATTACAATTAGTTGTAAGAAAACCAATTGTAATTTAGTCCTAATAAATTTAATAATATGGAATGTCCCGTAAAAAAATTGACCCTTTTATTCCTTAAGATTATGACGTAACTGTTTATGGCATTAGTCTCAATGGGGACTTGTTTTTTTTTTTTTTCTATAATTTACCGATTAAAAAAATGTATAACATTTGGTGTCAACACTTCAAACTATTAAGATGTCGAGCAATCAAGAAAAAGTGCGCGAATTGGTTTT